ACGTACGTGGTAAAATTGTTTAATTTACACAGCGTATTACCTGATCGAATTCTAAGAGTTCTTGTACTTTCTCCTGCATTATTTTTTGCAATTTAACAGCACACTACAATAAAATGGAAAACATGCGTGAATAACTATAGATATCGCAATTACTTTGTAGCAATTTTCCAATTTCATTCAATTGCTAAATCCTTTAGAATTTGAAGAATTGGGGAATCACTTATACGTATCATATATTTTGCATAACATAAGTTATCTCCCTAATAAATGTAATTAAATACAATGGCAGTTAAAGTAAGATGCGTTAACCACAAAATTCTTACCTTGTATAGTCAAGAAGTATGCATGTTATATTTCTTAGCACTTTCAAACATGATATTCATATCTCCAGCTACTTCACTAACAGTATCATATTCGCCTTTCTGAAAATGACGATTGGGGAGATGAATATAAAACTAACAAGCATTTTAATATAAATGAATTATCCTATCGTCATAACATAATACATACCTTTATCTTTGTACGTATTTGTAATAAAGATATAGGATTTTTAACCATCTTATAGTAATCAGGATATAATCTCTTTGACGGAAGCTTCCAAAAATATTCGCTCACCCTTACACCTACAACTCATAGTTATGTCACAAAACAGTCGTAACACGATAATAAATTCATAATATTATAATACAACGCAAATCATACCTTGATTATTAGGAGCTGTCCGAATGGTTTGAAATAGTTGCCATTGTGGATTATCAGCTTCCTCAGTCTCAGCGGGTTCTTCTTCCTCGTCATCGCTCTCATCATCTTCGGTCAGATAATGCTGCAGTTTGTGCTATTAATGACTGCGCCATGGTCACGACTGACCCTTTTGCTTTTCGTCGATGGTGCGGTTGTAGCGACCTTAAGAGTATTGCTAAATCTGCCGTCTTGTCTTCTCGCGGCTGCGGTAATTATCTTTCTCAAAAGTTTGGTATCCTTATAAATCTGCGAGCCAGGCTCGTTAAATTGACAGGCGTTACGGCACATGAGCATTAGATCTTTTTCCATATCGCCGAGTGAGCTGTATGCACCCTCTTGAATCTTCCTCGCGATGGTCTTCAAATCGATCGGGGTCTCGATGATGTCTTAATATTCAGGATAAAGCTGCGACGTTAATGAGATTTCAAGTAAGTACGGTAAGTCAGATCAGTAACAATTTAAGGATAAACTACGAACCTTTTTAGACGGTTTGGGTTGAAACATAATATGAAGAGGTCTGTTATTGTCAGTGAGATCAGTCGCTGTCATAACCGCCGCAAACAAATCTTCGAATAACTGCATAGTTTCCTCGTCAAGATTCATAGAACTTTCCGAAGGATCTTCCGCTTCGTCTTGTCACGTCGTTTCTTTATGTGCCTGAACATATTAATGGATTAATAATTTCACCACAGTGTACATATCACATGCGTAACGATTGAATCAGTAAATAATTACCAATCTGCCAACTTTTAGAACAAGTTTTCCCTTAGGTTTTGGCTCTTCGTACTCTTCCATGATACGATTTTTAGTATTTACACACAGTTCCCACAGTTCAGTCGCATCTTTGTATTCAGGGGAGGTACGCTACAAAAAGTTATACGTATAACAGGAATATCTCATTTGCCAGAGACAACAATATAATAAGATAACACACGATAAAAGTAATTAAAATATTATTATATTAAGATAAAATATTAAGGAGTAAAAACATACCACAGAATATGGTACAAAAACGCTTCTTCGAGCATTGTAGTCTAGAATTTGTGTTCTCATTCACAACTTTCAAAAAACACTTAACGTAGGCTGCATTACTTTTGGACGCTTTCGTGCTGAAAGCGTTATTCTACCTTTATTGCACATATATGTTCTTCTTGATCTTCGTCACTTCCCCCTGTGGCCCACTATATGTTGAAGAAAGAGAATCACGTTTTCAGCACGAAAGCGTACAAATGGAACGCAGCCGTAGTTTACTGGGAACGACCACACGGCCAATATGGCGGCCATATTGGCCAGTGACATCATCATATCCGTTCTCAATTAACACGATATAAATGGGCGCGTTCTGCAGACGCCGTTCAGTAGCAGCCGAACGTGATTGGCTCTTACTTTTAGAACCAATCAATCAACGCAGAGTGTTGATAAGACGAACTCAACAGTTGTTGTGTCTGCTGAACGCGGCCATATATAAGGGGTGCTTTTCATTTAAGGCCATTGCATGTAACAAAGTTTTGCACCTTATGCACATGTGTATGGACCAATCAATTTTCTTATGCTTACGCATTATGCGTTGTGCAGAAGTGTGTGCTCCCCGCTTAATCGAATGTGATTGGTCTATTTTCTTACGGCCTTACGATTATGACTAAAACTGTGTTACGTGCGATGGCCTTAAGGAGGGGGCCTATTAGGTATCTTTTTACGAGGTGAAAATGCGAAAAATGAGAGAATTCACTAGAATATCTACGATTTCATTGGTCGAAATAAAGTAAATCTGTTCACTTCGCATTTTCACCTCGTGAAAAGATACATAATAGGCAATGAACAATAGCCGTGTATCAATAAAGGTGGAAGCACATAAAATTGCAGGAGCCATAAGCAGAATCCAGAAGCCATATGCGCATGCGCTATGGTATTTGTAGAGCTTTACAGATACCACAGCGCATGCGCATATGGCTTCTGCATTCTGCTCAAGGCTCCTGCAATTTTATGTGCTTCCACCTTAAGACGGTATGTTTGTTTTCGCTGCACTTCAGAACTAGTGCAATAAGTTAGAATGACAGAAAATATATTTATTTCGTTCTAACTTATTGCACTATTACTACGTTTACGCGAGCATTACTTCTGTAGTAACTTACGATAATTCACCCGTTTACGCGGAGTAAATTATCGTAAGTTACTACAAAATCCCGTTTACGCGAAGGAAAATCCCGTTTACGTGAAGGAATTATCGTAAGTACAGAAGTAATGGCTCCTGCCCACAGGACGCGGAAACGCTTGCCGCGCGGCAAGAAGCGACGCGGTGATTGGCTACCGCAACCAATAAACTTTTGGTTCTTACGGAAAAGCGACACGGTGATTGGCTACCGCATCGCTTCTTGCCGCGCGGCAAGCGTTTCCGCATCCTGTGGGCAGAAGCCATAACGCTCGCGTAAACGTAGTATATGTTGCACTAGTTCAAGTGCTTTTTGTTGCACTAGAAGTGCAGCGAAAACGAACAGCCCTAATGCTACAGTATTGATACATGGCTTCCGATAGGTTGAAAATCTATTGCCTATATTATTCCCTATATTATTCCTATATCTATCTATCTATTGCCTATATTATTCCTATATTTCTGTTGCCCATGTTTTTCATCGTGCATCTAGCTTTATTCTTGGCCTTTTATTCTTTAGGGTCACTTTAACCAAACTCCGATTAAGGGCCGACGCATAAGAATTGTCGTAATTGTTTACGACTCTGTCGTAAGTTAAAACCGGTGTCGGAAGTCAACGCACAAGGATTGACGTTATAGTATGTCGTATCCATCGCGTTGCATACGCGACAAATATATGACATGCATTAACGTCCCTTGTGTTGACTTCTGACAGAGTCGTTAATGTTACGACAATCTTTGTGCTTTGGGGGCCTATTACGTATCTTTTTACTAGGTAAAAATGCGAAAAGTGAGAAAATTCACTAAAGTATTTACGATTTTATTGGTCGAAATCTAGTAAATCTGTTCACTTCGCATTTTCTCCTCATGAAAAGATACGTAATAGGCCCCCTGACCCTAACTTAATCATAAAGCCCCTTGCACAATGCCAGGCAACAGGCAATAGGAACAGGAAATAACCAAAAAATCGTTAATTACAACCTAAAAAATTCAAATGCTATGATTGGTTGGCAATAGGCAATAGGCACAGAATTTCCAACGTGACGGAAACTCTGTGTCTATTGCCTGTGTCACTGTTTATTCTGCATTTATACATGATTTCTGATTTCTATTCCCTGTTCCTATTGCCTGTTGCCTGGCATTGTGCAAAAGGCTTAAGAGTTGTCAACATGACAAAATAATTAGTATGACCATTTGTATTTCTGACGATATAATCGTTCTTACTCAATCTTTCGTTACATATCTTTTCGTGTATTGTAGAAAAGAAAGATATGTAATGAAAGTTTGGGTTAGAACAATTATATCGCCAGAAATACAAATTGTTAGGTTAGGTCACACTAATTATTTTGTCATATTTGCAACCCTTTAATCAACAATTACGTTAGGCTGAGTTTCCACTGAGCGCGTCACGCGTTGCGTCATCCGTCACGACCAATCAAAACATCGTATTTTATTACATTATTTGTGACGGGATGTTCAGATTGGTTAACGACACATGACGCGACGCGTGACGCGCTCAGTGGAAACTCAGCCTAACAATTAGAAAAGAAAAGCGACACTGCAAGCATATCTTCTGTCCTTCAGATCTTGCTGGAAGCTCTTCAATGAGAATGCTCAATCTAGCGTCTATGATATATAGACATGATATTTTATTAGAATAAGAACACATATATGTATATATGCGTTCTTATTCTAATAAAAAATAATTTTGTACATTTTAAGTTTTAGATTCTTTCAATGGAACGTAGAATTTTCTGAGAGAAAGACGTTTTCTATAGGATGAATTTGTTATCTTTTACGTTCTTAATATTTTTTGTCAAAGAAAATTCTTTAAATTTATTAGTAAATACAAACTAAACAACTATGATAATGTGTGTATAATTTTCTGAAAGAATACATGGATGGTTAAGCTAACTAACCCTGCATGGTTAGTTAACCATAGTTATAAGCTTTATATGGAAATCTATTTTTATTTTGTAAATACGAAAAGAGAAAAGACGGTGTAATATATAATTAATAAAAACTAATGAGAAACATCAGGAAGACA